CCAATGGATTTTGGAATCACAATGCACTGGGCTCCCATATCAACGGGAAAGTTTCTCCTCCCCCGCCGCCCCGGCCACTTTACCCATACATGTGCTGATGTCCTCAGGTCCCAGACTGGGGGTGTATCCAGAAGACCCTGGCTCTCCGGTCAATCTTCAACTGCATTAACCTGCCTGACCACCCTAATGAGCTCCTGGTTAGTTTTCTTAACTTTCAGGTTTTTAAATTCCTCCAAAATGGGGTAAATAGAGTGGACTTGTTTGGGCCTCTGTAATGTTGGGGGAAAAAAACAAGGGTTCCCATTGTCCAATTCAGTCTCCAGTAGTGCTGCATTAACACCTTTTTTCCACCCCGTCAATGTCCACTTTATTCACCCCATTTTTCAATAACCTTCTGCAAACTTCCACTCTGTTGGCTTGAGTCTCTTGACTGTCCCTTTTGTGCCTTCCCATTTTCTTTATTACTTTAATGTTTTTGGTATCAGCAAGCCCCGAAGCAGGGAAGCTGAGATAACAAATCTGATAAGACTTCTCAAACTATTCAACTTTGTAGCAATAAAGTTAAATGGGGTGCCCACGAAACAGGAGTCCCCTTAGGGATAGCATTCACCTAACCTGTAAAACAGGAATATTCTTTAAGAAAGGCGCGGTTCAGAGTCAAAGTAGATAAAGGCAGGTTTACTTGCTTATCTGGAGTAGAACAGAGAGAGGGAAGACGTGTGCTTAAACTCTGGAAAATGGAATGAAATAGCAAAGTTATGAAGACACCACTCAAAGAGCACAAAGTGTAATATGCTGAGCAGTAAAAAGTCTTTAGAAAATATACATTCCAGCCTGTATAACAGGAATATTCAGTGGGTGAATATCTCGTTCATCATAAAGTCAAACCCACATGGCTTAAATAAGAAGCATATCAGCAGCTTCATCTCAGGAATTCCATTTGGCTTTTTTCAAATATATTTTGGAGATTATTTCAGTTTGGTACATGTAAAGCATCTTCATCTTTTCCTTTCTTTTTCTTTTTTTATTAAGGTATCATGAATAAACACTTAGGAAGGTTTCACATGAAAAACATTGTGGTTACTACATTCACCTATATTACCAAGTCCCTCCCACACCTCATTGCAGTCACTGTCCATCAGCGTAGTGAGATGCCTCAGAGTCACTACTTGTCTTCTCTGTGCTACACTGGTCTCCCTGTGACCCCCCACACCATGTGTACTAATCATGATACCCCTCAATCCCCTTCTCACTCACTCCCCACCCACCCTCCCACACCCCTCGCCTTTGGTAACCACTAGTCCCTTCTTGGAGTCTGTGAGTCTGCTGCTGTTTTGTTCCTTCAGTTTTGCTTCACTGTTATACTCCACAAATGAGGGAAATCATGTGGTACTTGTCTTTCTCCACCTGGCTTATTTCACTGAGCATAACACCCTCCAGCTCCATCCATGTTGTTGCAACTGGTAGGATTTGTTTCTTTCTTATGGCTGAATAATATTCCATTGTGTATATGTACCACTTCTTTATCCATTCATCTACTGATGGACACTTAGGTTGCTTCCCTATCTTGGCTATTGTAAATAGTGCTGCAATAAACATAGGGGTGCATATGTCTTTTTGAATCTGAGAACTTCTACTCTTTAGGTAAATTCTTAGAAGTGGAATTCCCAGGTCAAATGGTATTTCTATTTTTAGTTTTTTGAGGAACCGCCATATTGTATTCCACAATGGTTGAACTAGCTTACATTCCCACCAGCAGTGTAGGAGGGGTCCCCTTTCTCTGCATCCTTGCCAACATTTGTTGTTCTTAGTCTTTCTGATGCTGACCATCCTAACTGGTGTGAGGTGATATCTCATTGTGGTTTTTATTTGCATTTCCCTGATCATTAGTGATGTGGAACATCCTGTCATGTGCCTGTTGGCCATCTGAATTTTTTCTTTGGAGAATTGTCTGTTCATATCATCCATCCATTTTTTAATAGGGTTACTTGCTTTTTGGTTGTTGAGGCATGTAAGTTCTTTATATATTTTGAATGTTAACCCCTTGTTGAATGTCTCATTTACAAATATATTCTCCCACACTGTAGGCTGCCTTTTTGTTCAGCTGATGGTGTCCTTTGCTGTACAGAAACTTTTTAGTTTGATGTAGTCCCATGAGTTCATTTTTGCTTTTCTTTCCCTTGCCCAAGGAGATGCGTTCAGGAAGAAGGTACTCATGCTTATATTCAGGAGGTTTCCCTATATTTTCTTCTATGAATTTTATGGTTTCATGACTTACATTCAGGTCTTTGATCCCTTTAGAGTTTACTTTTGTGTATGGGTCCATTTAGAGTTTACTTTTGTGTATGGGGTTAGACAATAATCCAGTTTCATTCTCTTGCATGTAGCTGTTCAGTTTTGCCAACACCAGCTGTTGAAGAGGCCATTATTTCCCCATTGTATGTCTATGGCTCCTTTATCATATATTAATTGACTGTATCTGCTAGGGTTTTTATCTGGGCTCTCTAGTCTGTTCCACTGGTCTGTGGCTCTGTTCTTGTGCCAGTACCAAATTGTCTTGATTACTGTGGCTTTGTAGTAGAGCTTGAAGTTGGGAAGAGAGATCTCCCCCCACTTTATTCTTCCTTCTCAGGATTGCTTGGGCTATTCTGGGTCTTTTGTGGTTCCATATGAATTTTAGAACTATTTGTTCCTGTTTGATGAAGAATGCTGTTGGTATTTTGATAGGGATTGCATTGAATCTGTAGATTGCTTTAGGCCGGATGGCCATTTTGACAATATTAATTCTTCCTATCAATGAGCACGGGATGTGTTTCCATTTATTGGTATCTTCTTTAATTTCTCTCATGAGTGTCTTGTAGTTTTCAGAGTATAGGTCTTTCACTTCCTTTGTTAGTTGATTCCTAGGTATTTTATTCTTTTTGATGCAATTGTGAATGGAATTGTTTTCCTGATTTCTCTCTGCTAGTTCATTGTTAGTATATCAGAATGCCACAGGTCCTGTGTATTAATTTTGTATCCCGCACCTTTGCTGAATTCAGATATTAGATCTAGTAGTTTTGGAGTGGAGTCTTTAGGGTTTTTTATCTGCAATGTCATGTCATCTGCAAACAGAATCAGTTTAACTTCTTCTTTACCAATGTGGATACCTTTTATTTCTTTGTGTTGTCTGGTTGCCGTGGCTAGGACCTCCAGTACTATGCTGAACAGAGGTGGGGAGAGTGGGCATCCTTGTCTTGTTCCCGATCTTAAAGGAAAGGCTTTCATCTTCTCGCTGTGAAGTATGATGTTGGCTGTGGGTTTATCATATATGGCCTTTATTATGTTGAGGTACTTGCCCTCTATACTCATTTTGTTGAGAGTTTTTATCATGAATGGATGTTGAATTTTGTCACATGCTTTTTCGGCACCTATGGAGATGATCATGTTTTTGTCCTTTTGATGTGGTGGATGATGTTGATGGATTTTCTAATATTCTGCCATCCTTTAAGCAACAGAGTGTTCTCCGAATCCACTGAATGATTCATAATAGAAGGAAATGTAATGAATAGATTTCTTAATGACATTTCACAACAGAATCCACATCAGAATTTATATGAGAACTAAGTCTCAGGTACTTTGAAAACTCAGCTGTAAGTACTCATGTGGCTCTCTCGCTGGGTTCTCTTCTATTCCGTTGGTATGTCTCTCACTCCACAAATATATATCTTGATTACATTTTAATCCAGTATTAGAACTCCTAAAATGAATGAGTGTGAGTCCAACCATCTGATCTTCTTTCTGAGATGTCTTGGTCATTCTGCTGTGTTGCCTTTCCATATAACTTTTAGGATAATCTTGTATGTGACTATAAAATACGTTGTTGCAAAGTGCTTTGAACCTATCAGTTCATGGTCATTGGACTTCACTTCTGTGTTGCCTTCCACTAAGTGGCTGTGGTGTACTTTTAGTTATTGTGCGATCCGGTTTCTTTCACCAGCATTTCACAGATTTCACTGGCAGAATCCTGCCAATGTTTTGGGACATTAACATTTTTCTCTTTTGAGCAATGCTATGTTTATTATATTTTTAATTTGTTTCCATTTCTTAATAGCTACTGTGTATAGAAATATGGCAGATTCTTTTTAAATGTTGATCTCCTACCCTCAGAATTTCCTAATCTCATTCACTAGAGATTGTAGGTTCCTGGGGCTATTTCATTAATGTTCTAATGGGTCTGTATGAAATGACCACATAGCAAGTGGATTGAAACAATAAACTTTATTATCTTACAGTTCTCAAGGTAAGATGTCTAAAATGCATCCACAGTGCTGCTAACCTTCTGGATACTCCACGGAGGAATTCTTTTCCTTGCGTTTTCCAAGTTGTAGCGACTGCTTACAGGCTTTGCTTCATGGTCCACTTCCGTCTTCAAAGTCAGCAGAGTAGCGTCTTAGTATCTGTTTGTCTCTATGCTGTTCCCATCACAGCAAAAACATCTTTGTGACTAACTGCACCTGCATTCTTCAGAGCCTTGTGATCACAACATGCTCATCTCTTCATCCAGAATAATGTCCCATGTCAAGATGCATAACTAGATCACATTTACAAAGTGCCTTTTGACGTGTAACACTTGGCAGGTTGTAGGGATGAGAGTGTGGCTGTCCCTGGTGCCACAGTGTCTTCTGTTGATGGGCACAGTGTCACACATGCCTTCCTAGTCCTGTCACTTCTGTTTCCTTCTCTTCCCTTATTTCACTGGCTGTGACTTCTTGTAGTACGTCTGTTAACACCAGGGAGAGAAGCCATCCTTCCTTATCCCCAGTCTCTGTGGGGGAAGCATTCAGTCTTTCACTGTGAGGAATGTCTGCTGAAAGGTGAGGCTGTGTGCGTGTTCTTTACTGTAATGGATATTTTCTTCATCTTGGCATCGTTTTTCATGTGGGATTTAGTTGGTGGTTACATATATATTTTTGCTAATGCCTTTGTCTATTTTTGTCACCGTGTACGCTGGTCTCGTAAGTTGAGCCAAAAAGTATTCCTTCCCTAGCATTTTCTGGAAGACACTGTATGCAATTGGTACTGTTCTCTGTATGTTTGATAGAATTGTCTAGTGTCACCATCTGTGTCTGCTGGCAGAGCCTGACTTCACCCTGGACACACTGGAACCCTCGTCATGTCCTGACTGCTGGTCACACGCTGCTGACTCTTCTGTCATTAGGGCCCAAAGCAATAGCTAAAGTCACCTCTTTGCTTATTTATTCCTGCTGCTCTCCTGCTCCTAAAATGTGAGCTCGCTGAGGGGAGCACCTGGGTCCCTCCTGTGTCGCTGTGGGCCCGCTGCATGGACCGGGTGCGGACACACACTGCGGCAGGCACCTCAGGGCCGGCTCCCGGCATGCACGAGGACGCGGCCCCTCCAGGGCGGAGACTCAGCTCACGCTTTTCTGGGGCGCTGGTGAGTGGCAGGAGCCCTAAAGCCTTTGCTGGCTCAACAGGCCAGAGAAGCCAGAAGACAGCTGCTTCAGAACAAAATTTAATAGGGTTTAGAGATTGACATGGACAAAAAAAAGTAATGAGCCAAGTCATTACAAGACTGTGATATGAAGGCACAGGACACACGTAAAGGGGCCGGGGCCTCTGGCACCAGGTGACGAGGATGCCACAGTGTCCGCTGATGGCGCTTCTCATGCCTGTTGTTGGCTACTGCCAGCTATTCTGCAAGCTGCGCTGGTCAGTGGGGGGCAGGGGAGGTGGGGCTGGAGGCAGAGGGATGCCCCGGACTCCTCGGGGAGGTAGAAGGGAGAGGAGATGGGGCCCGAGGTCCTCATCCCAATGATGGGCTGCTTGACCCCGGCTCACGGCCCAAATGCCCCTGCAAGGGGCCCATGTCAGCCCCTGTCCCCCCTTCCTCCTCCTTCTCCTCCTCCTCCTCCTCTTCCACCTTAAAGGCCTTCGCTGGCCTCTCCTCCCTGACAGTTGTTTCCACTGGGTCTTCATTTCGGTGCCGCTTCATGTGGGCGTAGTGAGTGCACATCTTGTCAAACACCCTGCAGAGTCAGCAGAGGACACGGGTCAGAGCAGGGGAAGCTGGGCTGAGGGCCCACGGGGACAGGGCAGGCTGCGGGTGCATCTGGGGACAGGGCTGGTGCCCACCTCTCACACTCCCCACAGGGAGCGCCTTGGCCCTGGACGCACCCCGGAGGCTCAGGGGTCTGCTTGGGAGCAGCATTTGGGCTGGTGTTGGCCACAGATTGTCCCCTGCAGCTCTCCGTCTCCGTCTTCAACTCAGGGGTTGGATGGTGGTTGCGTCTCTTCTCAGGGCTGGAAGTGGCCTGCAGAGGGGGCAGAAATGACATCAGGTGCCGACCTTCCACCCTTCTGAGGGAGATGCTTTCCCCTGTGGGGGCCCCTTCCCCACCCCGACTGGGTGGCCAGTAGCTGTCCAGACCAGCACTGAACTCCAGTGAGACCGCCTTACCCCAGAAAAGCCTACCTTTGTTTCTGTGGGGTCTGCCTCGGGCAGCTTCCTTTTGACGCTCTTTTTCAGTCCCGGGGCCCGAGAAGATGTAGTAAACCGGACCCTCTTTTTCCAGGTGTAGTAATATTCTACACACTGGGCCACCGACTTTGTCTGGACCTGGTGAAAGAAAACAGCAGCGGGCTTTGGGCACTGCCTCACACGCCCCCTCGCCGTGGGGCTGGGAACTTTCTGAAAGCTCTCCTGGAATGTCTCTCCCCTTGGGCTTGGCACGCCCCTGGGCTACAAGGAGCACAGAAGCACAGAGTCCTGCTGCTGATGAGGGGCTCAGGGTGACGCCGCCGTAGCCAGCACCGTCCAAGCTCTGCACGCTCTCTGAGCCCCAAGTCAGTCCCGGGAGGCCTTCCCTATGGGAAGGTGTACACGAGGGCTCCCTACACAGGCATTCACTGTGACGTCAGGCCTAATGGCTGTGCATTTACCAGCTGGGACTCCCTGCAGCAGGCTGCCCTCAGCAGCAGAGACCACAAAGCCTTGGCAGCAGCCAAGCAGCGCCCTGCAGTGCAGAGGTAGGAGGCCCAGGAGAGGAGGAGGGGGTTTTGAGGGCACAGTCAGATCCTTGGGCATTCAGACCCCACCATGTGCTCTCCCCCCACTTAGAATGGACCCCATTAATAACAACTTCTGTAAAAGCAAAGCAGAACAGGAAAGTTTAATTGCTCTAGGAAGACAATTTCTCAGGAAAATGAAATTGGCCGTTTAAGATGTGGAGCTCACTTCAGAAAATACTTTCTGCGTATGAAATTTTTTCAGTTCTGTATATCTTCAACCACTAGGAGCCAGAGTAGTAAATCCTCTGCCTAAGAAATATCACTACGTTAGAAAAAAAAAAAGTACTTGGACTTCTGCTTCCAAACAAGATGGAGCAGCAGGAGCTACATTGACCTTCCCATTCAAAACAATGAGAAGAAACAGTCAAAATGAGTGAAATGATGTTTGGGAAGACGCTAGGCAAGCCAAGAACAAGTCTTACTGAGACACAGAAAGTAAGCTACCAGTCCCTACACACTACACCCTGAGAGAGATTCCAGGCCACGGCCCGGGGAGAGGGGTCCGGGCAGAGCCAGGTGGGCTTCCTGAGCTGAGATGGAGGGAGGATTCTGGGGGAACAAGGCGGTGAGAGTTCACAGGACGAGGCAGGACAGGGAAGAGACCTGCTCAGAGGAAACTTCCAGAGATCTGGGGGGCGCTCCCCTCGAGCGTTCAGCAACGTGCTGACCAGCATGTGCGTATGAGGTGGCCCAAAACTGGGTAAAGAACCGCCTGGAAGATGTAGATGAAAAGGTACTTTCTTGAAAAAGTTCAATGTATACCTATCATATGACCCACTCATTCCTTTCCTAAGTATGTACCACCCTCCCCGCCACCAACACTACTTGGTCACGTAGAGATTTGAATGTGAATGTTCACAGCAGCTTTATTTATAATTGCAGATTCCTGGAAACCCCGCAGATGTCCCTCAATAGGGGAATGATTAAATGAACTGTGTTACATCCACACAATGGAATACTCCTCAGCAAGAAAAAGGGTCCACACAATAACATGGATGGACCTCAGAATAGTGATACTGAGTGTAAGAAGCCACACAAGGCAGACAAGCAGTGCACATGCTGCAGGATTGATAGAAAACACTGGAAAATGCAAACTAACTTATAGTGACAGAGAGAAGATGAGGTGATTAGGGACAAGGGTGGTAGGAAAAAGGGATTTAGCACAGGGACAGGAGGAACCTTTTGGGGGTCATGAATGTGTTTTTCATCTTGATCATGGTGATGGTTTTGCAGGTATAAATATGTCAAAACATCAAATCTTACATTCTGGTTACATGCAGTTTTGTGTGTATCAAGTTAAAAGAACAAAAAACATCAGCAGACATTAAGTGTAGTATGTTCACATCCTTTTCTAAATACATGTGTATATGCACGTAAGATCTGTATGGGCAAATGCCTGAGGTGCCCAACCAAAGTCAGAGGTCATCATTCAGAAGTAGGATGACGGCGATGGGTGCGGAGGGCTTTGAGCACGTGATGGCATTTCTGTACTGTCTGGAGGTGTTCACATCAATGGCTTTATAAACCACAAGCAGTTTACAGTGTGAACAGCATGTCACCCCAATAGGCCCTCCAGCTCTGGCTCAGCTCAGCGGTGTGAGACGAGGCCTTGTCTACACCAGCCCACCCACGTACACCTTACCATCTTGTGTATCAAGGAAAAGTTGTTCTTATGAGCCTGGAATGCCTTATTAAACAGCTCCTTCTCTGTGGGGGTCCAGACGGCTGAACCTATCGGAGAAACAGGAGAGAAAAGGACAGTTCTGCAGCCGCAGCCGTGGCGGAAATGCAGCCTGCCCTTTTTAAAGCTGTCATTACCGAGTACCAATTATGTGCCAAGAATTCTGTTTTATCTCATACAATCCTTAGAAAACCCTTAGCAGGTTGGGACCAATACTATCCCCACTTTACAGATGCAGTAACAAGGCTTCCATTGGTTAACAGACTTGCCAACGGGAGGCAGGGACTCCCAGTTGCCTGACTCCCAGGCTGGGGTGCTCAGCCACTGCATCTGAGCCTGCCTTCACCTCTCCCTGGCCAGGGGATCCCTTTCCTGGCTGGGAACAGCCCCTGAGGGAACCACTGCACTGGAAGGGGGAAGGGAGGACCCAGCCAGGGGAAAGAGGCACCCACTGAGGTCCCCCCAGGAGGAAAGGCCCTTCTGGAAAGGCAGGACAGGGAGGGCCCCAAGAGCACGCCCAGGGGCACAAGCAGAGCCTGCCGCCGAGACCGACCGGCTCCCGGGTACTAGCCGGGTACACCCACTCCCGCAGTCTCGCTCCAGTACCTGCATAGTGGTAGTCAGCCAGCGGGTGAGTCGGTGGCTTCTGGGGTCCGCTGAGTAGCAAGGTCTCTAGGGCCACCTGGAGCAGGAAGAAAAGCAGGGACTTTCTGAGGGACGGCAGGTGAGGCGGAGGCCTGCCTTCCACCTTTCATTCATTTGAAAAGCACTGACAGGCCCCCCTAAAGCCTCCCTCGCTCCAGGGCTACTCAGCACATAGTGGGGCCGTGTACTGGCCGCGGCTTGTGAGCTGCAGTGGACGTACCCACTCCGTCACTACGCATACTGCTGAGTGCAGCTGGGGTTTTTCTCAGTAGGGTTTTCTCAACGAAGGAAGCAGTGGCGGATTTATTCCGGCACCAGCTCCTTCCTTCGTCAAGGACTGGCATTTGTAGGGGCCCTGCCTGTGCCACGCCCCATTGTATTTCCTTCATAGCACTAACCACTAACAATTTTTGAAAACAGATTTCCCTTTGTCCTAAAATTAAAATGTAAGCCCCACGGAGAAGGATTTTGACTTGCTCACCAGTGTAAACCCAATCGGGATGGGCCGTGGAACCTGCAGGGCCCAGCGCAGAATGAAAATGCAGGACCCGTTTAGAAAATTCATTGATTTCAAAACTGGTGGAGGCAGAGCATTAGACCGAGGGGGGCCCCAAAGCCAGCCCTGCCCCAGGACCACAACACTCATGAGGGCCAACACACATGTGCTGGTTCCTCGGCTGAGCACCCACTCTGCGCCGCCCACTGCCTTGCAACCTGAGGAAAAGTACAGTTGCCAACACTGACTCCTGGGGCCCTAACTCGGGTGACATGACCTCCCTTCCCACTACTCAGAGTGGGACTTTTTATTTTCTAAACTACAGGATTGTGAAGCGGGTCCTTGGAGGAAGCAGATATTTTTGTTGCATCAGGGGTTTTCGTACGTGGGTTTTTAATCAAAAAGATAAAGCTCCATCGATAAACCAGATCAGTGCAGGACCTGAGTCAGTCTACTCGGCTCCACTCCCCCTGCCCCTGCAACCTCGGAGGAACCTGGTGCTCTGCCACTGCCCCAGGTAAATGACTGACTAACTGGGCCCCATCTGCACACTTGCCCTACAACTGACAAGGACATCAACCCCACAGCCCCTGGGGAAAAGGATGGGTGCCCTTTTTCAGTTTTCATGAGCCGCAAAGCCTGCAGATGGCACGTTACATGCACCAGATCCCCAGCCTCAGCACGGCAGGGGCATCCCAGGGACCCGCCAATCCCGCCCCTGCCTCTAGCTCACCGGGACTTTGCCCTGGGCCTCGTGCAGGCAGTGCAGAGCGAGCTCCAGGTTGGTGCCCCCTCCTGGCATCGTGCTGGAGCAGGCCAAGTTGCAGAGCTCAGTCACTGTTGCCAGCAAACGTCCCCAGCAGAGCATGAAAGACGGGAGACACAGGGAGTCAGTGAATGCCGGGGAGGAGACATCCCCAAAAGCACAGAGAGGGGCTCCTTGTCCCTGTCTCCCTCACAGCTCCCTGAAAAGCAGGCCAAGGGAAGGACAAGGAAGAAGGGCAGAAGCGCTTCTCCTGGCACCTGCTCAGGATGGCCTGGCTGGTTACTGCATGAGGAGAATGGGGGGCGGGAGGAGAAGCCCTGGTCCCACAGCCGGGTGCTGCACCCAGAGATACTGCTTCCTGGTCCCCGTGAGGCCTGGGAGGAGGATCTCCTTGGAGATGAGGGAAGGGGGGAAGCCTTGGGAATTTGGCCCCCATGTCTCAGCCACCTCTATCCTGTGTTTCTGGATTGGTCATCAGGTCATCCAATGGCTTCCAGACCAGAGAAGCTCCTTGTTCACCGGGCTCAGCTGGAGGGCGCTGCTGGAGCTCCGGGATCTCGGCCTGAAACTCGCTACCAATCCGGATGCGTCTGAAATGAGGCCACACACGAGACATACACATTGACTAAGATGGGAAATAAGATGGAGATGTGTGACGTGCCCTGCTCTCCGGCCAGAGCCCTGCTCTGTGGAAACCTCTGTCATCTCCCAGATGCATCTGCTGAGTATTCGCCACCCCTGACAGACATAAACAAGTGTTCTAGATACCGTCCGGCTACACTCCCTTCCTCCAATTTTCTTTATCACCAGGTTTCTCCCTCAGGTACCCCTCTGGGGTTCCAGGACAGGGGAGGTGTATGCTGATGGCTGGCATGCTTCTACACCCATGGACACATCCCTCTAGTCACATTCCATGGATACTCAAGCCTCACATGTGCCATCACCAATTCTACCTAGAACCCCAGGGTCCTGGGCATTTGTTCCCATGGGCCCAACTATGGGATGCCCAGAAAGAAGGAATATTGGAGAAACTTCCCACATACACCCAGAGAAATCAACCACAACTCTCCCAGAGAGTAGCTAACTCCCCTGGGAGGAAGGAGCTCTCGGGGAACACAAGGAGGGTAATAATATCCCCATTTTGGAAGGACCCCCAGGTTCTAAGTCTGTTCCAACTCACGGTTCAGTGCTGAGCTCCGTGTCATCCTCGATCGCACAGATGCCAGAAGAGTCATTCACTTGATCTAGAAAACACACAACAGAAAGCTTCAAGAACACTGACTGGAAGTGATGCAGGGGCCCCTTCTGCCTGCCTTTGTAGAGCAGCTGAAAGCAGGGTTTCCAAGCTCGAAAGGTTCGGAGCTCCCTCAGAAAACTAACAATAGAACTACCGTATGATCCAGCAACACCACTTGTGGGTATTGACCCAGAAGGACTGAAATCAGGCTCCCAAAGAGACACCTGCACTCCCATGTTCACTGCAATGTGATTCGCAATAGCTAAGATGTGGAAACAACCAAGATGCCATCGACATATGAATGGGTAAAGAATATGTGGTTTATACATACAATGGAATCCTATTTAGCCTTAAAAAAAGGAAATTTGCAATAATAAACAACATGGATGACCCCCTTGAGAACATTAAATGAAATAAGCCAGTCACAGAAAGGGAAATACTGCATGAATGCACTTAAAATGTAGTATCTAAAATAGTAAAATCCACATAACCAAACGGTGGAATGGTGGTGGCCAGGGTTAGGGTCATGGGAAGTGGGGAGTTACTAACAAAGAAATGTAAAGTCTCAGTTAAGCAAGATGAATAAACTCTAGAGATCTGCTGTACGGCACTGCCAACAATACCATATTGAACACTTAAAAGATTTGTTAGAGGGTAGGTCTTATGTTCACTCTTCTTGTCACAACAAAAATTGTTCAAAAGATCATGTGGAAGAGGACTAGGACTTCTGAAAATACAAAGAGTAAAGCAACAAATTAACAGGTAAAAATTATTTTAAAAGCAGTTAAAGTCTCTAGAAGTTATCCTAAAGGTATCCAGCATTTTAAGAAATATTCATTCAGGACAACTGAGTAAATGTCGGTAAGAATAGTGAGTTTGCGGCATCTGAGCCGTGACTTGTTCCCTTACCTACCAGCCCCATGCACTGTGTATCAGAAGCTCTACTTGGAGTGCTCTACTCCAGGGAGGTGCAGCCAGGGACACAGGGGGTCCCTCTCCTCCCAGCTCTCATGCCTAAAGAGCTAAAGGAAGGTACAATGAAAAATGCTCATCAAAGAGAGAATACTAATAAGAGGAAGAAATTTTCTTCTTTAAGAACCAAATGGAAATCTTGGACTTAAGAACCATAACCAAAATATAGATTTGAGCTGACAGGAGTAACCAGCAGCCAACTTAAAGCTAGATCCATGGAGATTATGGATTTTGAAGAACAGAGAGAAAAATAAATGAATGAAGGAAAACAAAGAGCCACAGAGAAATGTGGGGCATCAATAAGTGCAGCAACATGTGTAATGGGAATACAAGGAGAAGTGGAGAAAGGAACAGAAAAATATTTAAAGTATTTAATGGCAGAAAATGCCCAAAATTTGATGAAAAAACAATACATACATCCAAGAAACTCTATAAACTCCAAGTAGCATAAACACAAAGAACTCTCCATCTGGGCACATCATAGGCAAAATACTGAAAGCCAAAGATAAAGATCTTGAAAGCAAAAAGAGAAAAATAACGTGACATACATGTACACAATAGTAAGACTAACAGCTGACTGCTCATCGGACATGATAGCAGTTGGAAGGCAGTGGGACAACATGATCTCATTGCTGGAAGTAAAAGCTCAACCAAGAATCTTACATCCAGCAAATTACCTTTCAAAAATGAAGGTGGGAAAAGACATACTTAGGTAAATAAAAACTGAGGAAACTTGTTGCCAGCAGACCTGTCTTACAAGGAACATTAAGGGGAGACAATTATTCAGCCATGAAAAGATATGAACTTCTGATATNAGCAGACCTGTCTTACAAGGAACATTAAAGGGAGAGAATTATTCAGCCATGAAAAGAAATGAAGTTCTGATATGCACAACATGGGTGAAACCCTAAGTTTTCATGCCAACTGGAAGAAAACACAAAGAAGCACACATTGTATGATGCCCACTTATACGAAATGTCCAGAAGAGCAGAGCCTACAGGACAGAAAGTAGATTCGTGCTTACCTACAGCTGGGGACAGGGTCACGAGGGGAAGGAAAAGAGTGACTGCTGAGTACAGGGCTACCTTGGGACATGATGAAAATATCAGAAACTTGATGGTAGCAACGGTGGCACAGCTCTGAGAATATACCAAACACCACTGTATTGTGTATTTTAAGGGGATGAATTGTATGACATGTGAATTACACCTCCACAATGAAAAAAATACTACAGGAAGTTCTTCAGACTGAAAGAGAAAATGACAAGAGATTGTAATATGAATCCAAACAAACAAAAAACACTGGTAAATGTACGTATATAGGTAATTATAAAAGTCAGTACAATTGCATATTTTTTCTCTTTTCTTGACTTAAAAAGTAATTGCATAAAACACTACTGTTACAGGCCTGTAATTTACAAACATGTATATGACAACAACAGCACAACAAAGGGGAGATGCATTGGCGTAAAGAAATAGCCCTCCATATAGTAACTCAAATCCACAGGAATAAATGAAGAGATGAGAAATGGTAACTAAAAATGTTATACAACAAACTGTATAAATAATGCTTGCATTCCCTTATTCTCTCAGTTTTTGTTACATAAAACAAAATTGTATAATATAAGAATTGATGTATTGCTGGGTTTATACACACACACACTCAATGTACATATATAAATAACTAGAGCCAGAGGGTTCGGAGAAATAGAGCTGTATAGGAGTAATGTTCCCGTATTTCACTGTAAGTGACGGGAAGGACAGGGAGGAAGGGCTGAAACCCTGCTCCTGGCACCTGCTCAGGATGGCCTGGCTGGTTACCACATGAGGAGAATGGGGGGTGGGAGGAGAAGCCCTGGTCCCACAGCCGGGTACCCCACCCAGGGATACTGCTTCCTGGTCCACGTGAGGCCTGGGAGGAGGATCTCCTTGGAGATGAGGGAAGGGGGGAAGCCTTGGGAATTTGGCCCCCATGTCTCAGCCACCTCTATCCTGTGTTTCTGGATTGCTCATCACATCATCCGATGGCTTCCAGACCAGAGAAGCTCCTTGTTCACCGGTCTCGGCTGGAGGGCGCTCCTGGAGCTCCGGGATCTCGGCCTGAAACTTCTTTCCTATCCTGATGCGCCTGAAATGAGGCCACACACGAGAAATACACATGTGACTAAGATGGGAAATAAGACGGAGATGTGTGACGTGCCCTGCTCTCAGGTCACAACCCTGCTCTGTGGAAACCTCTGTCATCTCCCAGATGCATCTGCGGAGTATTCGTCACCCCGGACAGACATGGACAAGTGTTCTAGATACTGTCCAGCTACACTCCCTTCCTCCAATTTTCTTTATCACCAGGTTTCTCCCTCAGGTACCCCTCTGGGGTTCCAGGACAGGGAAGGTGTATGCTGATGCCTGGCATGCTTCTACACCCATGGCCACATCCCTCTAGTCACATTCCATGGATACTCAAGCCTCACATGTGCCATCACCAATTCTACCTTTAACCCCAAGGTCCTGGGCATTTGTCCCCGTGGGCCCAACTGTGGGATGCNATATTGGTTGAACTTCCCACATACACCCAGAGAAATATACCACTTCTCTCCCAGAGAGAAGCTAATGCCCCTGGGAGGAAGGAGCTCTGGGGGAACACAAGGAGGGTAAAAATATCCCCACTTTTGTAGGACCCCCAGGTTCCAAGTCTGTTCTAACTCACATTCGAATTCGGGGCTTGGTGTCATCCTTGATAACATGGCTGGCAGAAGAGTCATCCACTTGATCTAGAAAATACGCAACAGAAAGCTTCAGGAACACTGACTGCAAGTGATGCAGGGGCCCCTCTGCCTGCCTTTGTAGAGCAGCTGAAAGCAGGGTTTCCAAGATTGCAAGGTCGGGAGCTCCCTCAGAACACTAACAGTAGAACTACCATATGATCCAGCAGCCCCACTAGTGGGTATTGACCCAAAAGGATGGAAATCAGGCTCTCAAAGAGACACCTGCACTCCCATGTGCACTGCAACGTGATTCGCAATAGCTAAGATGTGGAAACAACGAAGATGCCCAATGACATATGAATGGGTAAAGAATGTGTGGTTTATACATACAATGGAACCCTACTTAGCATTTAAAAAAGGAGATTTTGCAATATGCAACAACATGGATGAACCCCTTGAGAACATTAAATGAAATAAACCAGTCAGAGAAAGAGAAATACTGCGTGAATACACTTAACATGTAGTATCTAAAACAGTCAAATTCATATAACCAAACGGTGGAATGGTGGTGGCCAGGGTTAGCGTCACGGGAAACGGGGAGTTACTAACCAAGGAATATAAAGTCTCAGTTAAGCAAGATGAATAAACTGTGTATCAGAAGCTCTACTTGGAGGGCTCTACTCCAGGGAGGTGCAGCCAGGGACACAGGGGGTCCCTCTCCTCCCACCTCTCATGCCTAAAGAGCTAAAGGAAGTTACAATGAAAAATGCTCATCAAAGAGAGAATACTATTAAGAGGGAGAAGTTGTTTTTGTTTTTAAAGAACCAAATGGAAATCTTGGAGTTAAGAACAATAACCAAAGTGTAGATTTGAGCTGGCAGAAGTAACCAGCAGCCAACTTAAAGCTAAATGCATGGAGATTATGGATTTTGGAGAACAGAGAGAAAAATAAATGATTGAAGGAAAATGAAGAGCCACAGAGAAATGTGGGGCACCAATAAGTACAGCAACACGTGTAATGGGAATACAAGGAGTGGAGAAAGGAACAGAAAAATATTTAAAGTATTTAATGGCAGAAAATGCCCAAAATGTGATGAAAAAACAA